CACAGTATTCGCAATTGCGGATAAGCTTGGGAAAAGGCTCGTCGAGCTAGGTCAGGGGCGTGATGCCCCAGAGATTGACCGTAGTGAGCTACGCCAGATACTCTTGGACGCCATCCCGAAAGACAAAATCAAATGGGGCCACGCTCTGACAAGCGCAACGGTCGGCGAGGACAACAGGCCGGTCCTTCAGTTTGCCAATGGCGCTGTACTGTCTGGGTTTAAGCTCGTTGTCGGAGCCGATGGTGCATGGAGCAAAGTCCGCTCTATGGTATGTTCCTGCCACTCTTTCTTCGGGCGTCATGGCCTAATTACTGAACCCACCTCTTAGATTACGCAAACAACCCCCCGATACACTGGGAAGACTGTCCTTGTATCGAAAATCGACCACGAGAACCCTCTGTATGAAACGACAGCCAGCAAAGTTGGGGTGGGGAGTTCTTTGTCGATTGGTTCTGGAAAGTACATCATGATCCAGCGGCAGGGTAATGGCTCTTACAGAAATTCTTTTGGACTCCAAGTTCCAGAGAATTTCTTCCGTAACGGCACTGGCAACATCCACGACGTTGAAACTATACGCCACCTCTTGCTCTCGGATTTCTTTGCAGGATGGTCAGAAGAATACAAGGGTCTCATCCGTCACGCAACCGACTTCCGCGCCTGGCCGCTTTACACCCTGTCCTCTGAGGACATGTGCTGGAAGTCTGTTACGGGTGCGACCATTGCCGGAGATGCTGCTCATCTTTCGTTCACTGGTGGGTCGGGCGTGAACCTCGCAATGACCGATTCATTGAAGTTGGCATCCAAGATCGCCGAGCATGGCTCTGAAATTTTCGACCAAGCGGTACAGGAATACGAGGCGGACATGTTCCCTCGAGGAATTGCCAGGATTACCGAGAGCAAAGTATTGGAAAATGTCATGCACAGTGAAGATCCTCAGGCGTTTATCCAGCTTATGAGTTCGTAGACGACTGTCACAGCGATGACCTGTGGACTCGGATGAGTTTAGGGCCTGCCTGATTGAAGTCCAGTGGCCACTGGACCCACTCTAATTCGTACCGACCAGGGGTGGTGACAGGGGTGTATCCACCAAACCATTCCTAAAATGGCTGTGATTGGCTACTGCATAAGTCGGTACTTTATTGAATAAATCCTCCAGTGGCCACTGGAGAGTTATGCCTAAGTGGGTATGTACACCCCCTGTAAAGACCCGGTTTTACACCCATTTATTACTTAAATAGGGAAAGTCTGTCAGTGGCCACTGGCCAGCGGCCACTGGTGGCGTGTGGAGACAGCAGCCACTGTAGTAACTCTCATTGGTCATACCTCCAGTGGCTCCCAGTGGCCACTGTGATGATCTGATTGGTTAAGCTCTTCAGATGTGGGCTTTTTCTAACTTCAATCCATATTACATAATCAAGAACAGCTTTAAAAATATATAAAAATATACTTAAATATATTAATTTATATTTATAATTTTTTTTTAATATATATGAATTTTTCTTATATTTTTAATATATTCTTTCCATGTCACGTGATTGCTGACTAATAGAAAACGGTTGCGTCAATATCTGATGCCTGATATTTCAGGCCAAGAAGGAGTACTTGGGCTGGTTACATAATTTTATATGCAATTATAATGGGTCAGAAAGTACCTTTGTGGACCCAGTGGCCACTGGATCCACTTTCTATCAGGCGCGGCCTTAGGTGGGAATCTTGATGGCTGGAAATGACGGATATTGGCCCATAAAAGTTTCCGGAAGGATTGTGTCAGATAAGCGTCATGTGATGAGAAGCTTTCCGATAAGTAGGTACCTAGGTACTTTGGCATTTGCCGTTTGCCATTTGCAGTCCGAATTTTCTTCAATGCCCAACACTTTCTGACCACTAATTCATGATTTTAGTTGATAAATTTTAGCAGACCGTGAATCATGAGAAAAACGCCTACAATTTGAGGATAGCCTGTGCTACTGCTTGCGCAAAGGGTGATGGACGGCTGATGTGAAATTTAACGCAGACAAGTCGGTGCAAATAAGGAAGAAAGGTACATGCAAAGGGTGCTATGTTCAATGGTCCTGATCTACCCTTATCCTGTGCAACCAGTGATCAATCATGCTGCCACTCCTAAATTAACTTGAATCAATCCGCTTCTTCTTTATTTGAGCTTTACAATTCATATACCAAGATACATCGATTCCAGATCAGCTTGTTGTAGTCATCACCGGTGTTGGTAGAGGTGCGTCAACATGCTATTCTAAGAATGCTAAGCTGGCTTACTAACCTTCTAACAGTTACCGGGCTTACGTCGCACGACTGAACTGCACAGTTGTGGGGAGCATCCGCGACGATGCCGTCCCAGGAGTGGCCGAGTTGAAGGCGTTCCCGAAGGAGGATGGATCAAGCCTGCTTCTAGTAAAGATCGAAAGCTCTTCATCTACGAATGCAAGCAGCGCAGCGAAAGAAATGGAAGCCGCAGGCATCAACCACATCAATATCTTGATCGGGCCCCAATACTGGCATGAGCCCACCAATCGAACCTATCGAGACGGTCGATGTTAGAGTCGTGGCGAGCACGTTTCGCGTCAACGCCCTGGGCCCCCTATCTTTATACCAAGCCTGTCACAACTTACTTGGGAAATCGAGCAACACCAGGTTCGTGCCGATCACCAGCGCTGGCACCATCGGCGGATGGAACAAGGTCGTACTTTTGCAGCACCATCCTACTGCATCTCAAAGACGGCGTTGAATTGGATTACTTTGCACATCTCTCTAAGATGACTGGTTGCAGCAAGAAGAAACATTTCATAGCTGATAGATCTTATACAAGGCAGCCCACTGTAGCAGCACGTGGCTTACTGCTGTTGCTATCAACCCGGGGTAAGATTGAAGTATTTGAGTAACCATCATTAGGGTAAGAACTGGCATTTGCACCAATAGAAAATCATGAGCCTTGTGAGTGTCTTCTTCTTGACTGTTTTGAAAACTAAACCGATGTTGCAACCTTTCGTAAATTCGAAATATTAAAGTAATAATAGCTCGAAAATATGATTCATTCTGTTCTTTAAGGAAAGCCTGCTTAGACTATTATTTAAATTGTCTCCCGTTATTCAGTTATGAAGGAATAAGGGGTGCTATCCATGACCCGCCTGGCCCACCCACGGCTCATTCATGACTTTCACCATGAAGTTTTAAGTTACAGTTCCTACCTCCATATACTAATTTATACAGAACTAAGGCTAAACCTTACCTACCTAGGTATGCAGTTGGGACAAACAAAGCATACGCCTCATACATATGGCTAGGACTTGGATTTCGAATCTGTCTTTGTACAATCTTCCTGCAGCTTTACGGCTCGTGATTTCTTCGGGGCCGAAATGCGCGGAGGTAAGGGAAGGTCGGTAAAAAAGAACTAGAATAATTACACCAACTATATAGTATCCCCATTATTTCGTTACTCGCCTATAGGGGGATTCCGGGGGTAGTAAGGGATGAGTCCCTCACGTGCAGACCGCCATACAACCAACCGATAATTCCGCTACCACACCGATCCTTTTTTTCTCCTGGGAACTCAAACTTACCTATATTATACCACACAGATCCTTTTTTTCTCCTGGGAACTCAAATTTACCTATATTATATAGTCCAAAGCTTTTCCTCATAGAGTACGAGACTTATTAACATACGACATTTCGACAACTCAAGCTTCCCGCCATTCCATATCCCGTCTGCCATGAAGCCTATTCGCGTTTGGATCACCCGTAAGTTGAGCAGAGAAATTCCAATGGTACCTTCATGTCTTCAAAGCTAACTGTGTGAAGCCCCGGGCCCGAACTCCTGGAAGGTTCGCCGGCCTCAAATTCCTTCTTTGCAATTTTAATCTGACACGAAGTGTATAGGTGGTCGTAGTCCTTGAGGAACTAGGCGTGCCCTACGAGTTCAAAGTTATGGGTTTTGCCGATGTCAAGAAGAAGCCCTTCACCGACATCAACCCAAATGGCCGGGTCCCAGCTATCGAAGACCCAAATACAGACATTACTTTGTGGGAATCCGGTGCCATCGTGCAGTACATTATAGAGCAGTATGACGTTAAAAAGATCCTCACGTACGATACACTCAAGGAGAAGCATCAACTCAATCAATGGCTCCAGTTCCAGATGAGCGGCCAGGGACCCTATTACGGGGTATCTGCATGGTGAGTGTTCCTCGAGTGGTCCGCGGCACATAAACTCACGTTGCTCACAACGTTAGGTTCAACGTCCTGCACCCAGAGAAAATTCCATCCGCCATAGAGCGATACAACGACCAGCTGAAGCGCGTACTCGGCGTTTTGGAGAGCTGGCTTGAGAACCGACAGTGGCTTGTCGGCGACAAGATCACGTACGCCGACTGGGCGTTCGTACCCTGGAATGATCGCATAAACGACGTCATCTTCTGCAAGCCAGAGGACAAGTTTGTGGGTTTCCCCAACGTTCAGGCCTGGCACGAACGCATGATCTCGCGCCCTGCGTGGAAGAAAACTGTGGAGATCCGGGCCGGTCTCATGGAAGAGCAGGGCCTGCAGAACGGGACGGGAAGGCCCGCCCGTTTCAAGTCCCATCAAGAATACGAGGCCGCTATTGCCAGGGGCGAGGATGTCCATGCGTAGGTTTCTGTGTTTGGAGCAGGAGACTTAAACAGTTGACTACTTGGTACGGGTTTGGCTCGGGAAGTAGATAACCTAGTGTATAGCAGCTTAGTCTTTGGTATGCAGACAATATTGCCGCATTTCGTTCTCTCACTATACCTAAGTCAGTAACTAGGGTTATCGTTGAAACCATTATACTGCCGGCTTGATGACCAAGTAAATCAACTTAATTTACCTCGGACGGTCTAGCGTTGGCAGCCAATTGCGATTTGATCTTGACCTTCCGGACCTTACCCACCCGCCCACTTAGTGCTATAGCACACAGTAGGCAAACACTAAGTATACCCACCGATGGAAGAGCAAATTTTCTTCAAAAGGAGGCTTCCTGGCCTAATGGTAAGGCGTCTGACTACGATGGAGCATCATAAAATACCCAGTTACGCTTCAAAAGTTATCAGGAGATTGTCGGTTCGACCCCGGCGGAAGTCACTTTATTTCCTTATCTTTTAATTTTTATAGTAAAAACTCATTTAGAAGAGTTTGAATTTACGTCTCTAACTACATTCTGGTAAGACTGAAAACGCGGAATTAGGTCGCCGTATTATTTTTAACAGCCAACCAAATTTTAACTGTATCAAAGGATGTCACTCATATCTCAGAAAGCCAGGACATGGAAGAGCGCCGACCACATCTCGAGATTATAGAGTCTGGAAGTTGTAAGGCGGGCGGATATCCATTAATACGAGACCATACAATGACCAAGTGTATAACTGTTCCCAATCAAGGAGTGCTGTCGGTTGAACTGTATCTCAATCGACAAGAACGTCGTACGCAGAGATATCCCAATGTTAGAGGACAGTGGATTATTCACGAGGTAAGGCGCCGTTTGCAACATATCCACATCAAGAGAGGACAATAGGAATCTTGTACATAGCGAACATAATATCTCGGTTATTCAAACAACTTGATTTGTTGCTACTGACGGAGGAAGTTCCCCAGTAAGAATATCCAATACCTAGGAACTCCTATCATAACGTAGATACGTGAGAATATATAATATGGTATTTGCAAGGGCCAATTGCAACTGTTCTGGCGTGGTTGTATAAATACACAGCCGACACAAGAACAGCTTCCTCTTCACAACTTCTCGTTTCACCGGAGCTAACCTAGGATCTACCAGCAAGAAGCCTATAGACATGTGTTAGTTAACCTTCGAGATCTCGGACCTATAACTGCTAGATGACATAGACACTTACGCTGGACCCGCCATTGTCGGTGAAGACTTCACATCCACTTATGCATGTCTAATGGAATATGTTAGTAAAATCCACAACGTTTGTCCAACACCATGGTTTTTGGGAGCAGCTCACTCCTCTACTGGCACAATTCTAGACACTGATTCCGCTCCAGCAACGGGTAGGCTCGCCCTTATGGCATTCGTACGCCGCGACGTTGCTCACAAGGGAGACAAGTAGGCATGAGATAGCAAAGAGCTTCATCCTGACGTGTGAAATAGCAATAAATTGTAGTTGTGTGAGTTGTTACGTCGGCAGATGATTATTGAGTTTTGACTATGAGAACGTAGTGCAAAAGAGAGATGGACACATCGACGTATTATATAGGCATGATATTGGCTTCAATTGTCTGCTCGAAATAGTTCATTTTAAAACCCCTACACCGCAGCGATGTGACTTTTTTGTTGCATCGCTGTAACCATGGACCTGGTAACTATGCTGTGCACGTTCGAGAAGATGCCGGCCGGAAGCTGAACCCCTGAGACCCATTGCGGCGGTGGCCTATCAGATCTAACTGGCCTTTTTCTACGGAGCTTCTATGTATTGAGCCTGTGGCACAATGCTCACTAGCGGATCCTTAGTTCCATATCTGGCGTGGAACCCTCGAGTTGTGATCCTGAAATAGCAAATTATTTTATTGTATCGTATTTGGTTGCTAATCTATATGATTGCATAAATAGGTAGTGATCATTAATCGTTGTATTGAAGTTACTTGACGTGGTTCTAGAAAATACCTACCTAGGTAGGTAATCAAGTACTTTTAAATTGCTTCGCTACATGTTATATGCTAATAATAATTTATAGAAAAAACCGTGTGACTATTTATCAAATGGCAGTTACCTGGCTGGCGTGATAGCTGGATCTATAAACATGTAGTTTACCTACCCACCAGGCAGGCACTTACGTTATTTCTAACAACCTTACACGCTTCCTTAAATTATATCTTGAACCTAGACAACTAACTCATGAGCCCTCAGCTGTGCCTCGCAGAAAAGCCCTTGCTTACCTACCTAGGTATGAATCCCACTTTGAGAGGTTATATGTGCTATAGCCTATCAGTCGGTATCACCAGCTTCATTTGCTGTTTGTGCCGCTTAACCTTTTATTTGTTTGCCATTAACGCTGTGTGTGGAACAACCTTGCTTGTATCACTTGGTACGAGATGGGCCCAATAGTGCCCCTTCTTGTATTACTACATATTGATAACGAAGCTATATTAATTTGTCTACTAAAGCCTTAGATCAAGGACACAAACAAGTCCATATATTACTAGTTGTTAATGGGCGGCCTGTAGTTGATCTGTAATCAATAATCAATGTTAAACAGCAACTATTCGAGGTTTAAAAACGGCCCGTTCAACAGAGCGTAATCATTTTAATTAACTAAAGCCACCATAATTTTGAATATTATTCTATATTTGAAGAAAAATCTTGTTTGGTTTTACATATTCAACTTCCCTTAATGGAAGGCCGCCTCGCACTCCATTCATAATCATGGGCGAGGTCGGTAGCAACAATATCGAATGATAGGGATGTGGTTTACTCGCCTTTTTCCTATATGCAAGGGCGGCATTCAGATGTTACAATCTACAAATAAACATAAGTCTGATGAGATCATTGTGTAGCATATAACGAGTTATACTGCGGTGTGGTTGAATAAAAAATACTCTTTTGTTCGTCGGGCGGTGCAGCATTTCTTTGAACATTTTACTATAACAATGGTGACTATTTCCGGTCGCGTCAGCGTCAGCACGGCTGCATTGGCTATCTCAAAAACTCCCTTCTTGAATTTAGTTGAGCGTTGAACCCCTCATCTGTCATAATAACTGCATTTAGTCCTTTGACTACTTATCATTACTACCTACACATTAACGCCGCTCGAACATAAAAGCACTATAATTACACTCAATGTCTGCGAAGAGATCACCCACGCCGGTACTCGATAGAGCACAAACGTTTCCTCTCAGTCAAAGTACGGCAGCTCCTAAGAATCGGCAGGGGGAATGGATGACTGCCGAAGTCACTCCATGTTCTCATGTGGAGGAGAAGCGAGTATGCTACCCCGATCTCGACTCGTGGCGCCCACAGGACGGGGAACGACATTTAAGCGACGACCTCGAGGCTACTGTTAAAGGATTAAGATCAGAAGAGAGGTTCCTAGGGTTGAAGGCGGAAATACGCACGAAGTGGTCGATCAAGCTCGAGGGTGCTTATCGGCGGATAGAGGGGTCTAATACAGCTTCTGTACCGACCATTATGGTAGTAGCATGGGATGAAGATGGCCGTGAATACAGCGCCAAAGAGGAGGAGCTATGGACGCAATCATGTAAAGATATGGTAGCATTCTTGAGAAACCATCTTAGCTCTTATTTTGGAGTTGAAATCGTCCATTGGGACATGTTGGACTACCGGGTAGTGGCTTGACCTTGGTACGAGTTACCTACCACATCTCACGCTGAGAGGGGGGTGGGGCGAAGGGCAATGGTTCGGACTGTTGCCCATGGATAGCATGTTTAGAAATGATCACGATGTAGCTATATGAGTTTATAATGAACATTCGCAACACAACTTTGGAGGTGTAACCCCTGAAAGGATAAAATAATTATAGTGGGAATTGAGATTTCAGAAAAACGGCACGGACCGAGGATTTGTACGCTGAAGATCGGACGCCGATCTCGGCACTAACTCGGTGAAGCCGGAGTTAAGCTCGAAGAAATTAATTCAAGTGACACCAAGGTCTTCGACGTCACCGCTTTTCGTAAACAACGTCAGCTTCCCACTCCAATGTAGCCCATTATAAACAATGGCGGCCGTCCAGAAGCAGAAGCCGGCAGAGGCCAGCAAGAACTACAAGGGTTTCGTGGCTGGCGTCTTCTCCGGCATCGCCAAGCTGACGGGTAAGTTTCACCATTGTTTTCTTTCAGCAGCGAGTTATGCTAATCCGGCCCTGCAAAATATGCAGTCGGCCACCCCTTCGACACCATCAAGGTGCGCCTGCAAACAACTGACTCGACGCGCTTCAGCGGCCCGCTGCAATGCGTCTTGCAGACGATCCGCAACGAGGGCGTGCGCGGGCTGTACAAAGGCGCGACACCGCCGCTAGTTGGATGGATGTTCATGGACTCGGTCATGTTGGGCTCGCTTACCGTTTACCGGCGCCTACTTGCGGAAAATGTATTTTATCGGCATTTAACACCTCACTCTACGCTGGGGCCGATTAAGCCGCCGGAGAAGGAGGGTCCTATCGCTGCAACGTCCCATGCCGCCGCACACCTACCATCGTACGGCCACGGAATCGCGGGTATCATGGCAGGGTTCACTGTAAGCTTCATCGCGGCGCCCGTCGAACACATCAAGGCTCGCCTACAGATCCAGTACTCGGCCAAGAAGTCCGAGAGGCTGTACGCTGGGCCGTTGGATTGCGTGCGTAAGATCTACGGCGCCCACGGCTTGCCCGGCGTCTACAAGGGGCTCTTCGCCACGCTGCTGTTCCGATCATTCTTTTTCTTCTGGTGGGGGTCCTACGACGTGTTCTCACGGATGCTGAAGGATCGGACAAACCTCAGCGCGCCGGCCATCAATTTCTGGGCGGGTGGTCTAAGCGCTCAGGTCTTTTGGCTCACGAGCTACCCGAGCGATGTGGTCAAGCAGCGCATTATGACGGATCCGATCGGCGGGAAACTGAACGACGGGACGCCGAGATTTAGAAATTGGTTAGAGGCAGCGCGAGCTGTGTATAGAGAGGGAGGTCCCAAGGGGTACTGGCGAGGGTTTCTGCCCTGCTTTCTGAGAGCGTTCCCTGCCAATGCGATGGCTCTAGTGGCGTTTGAGGGCGTCATGAGGACACTGCCTTGAAATTATATATTAAAGAAGTAAGAATCTTACGTTCAACCCTTTTTTGCAACTGGGTTAGTGTGATATACCTCTTTCCATTGTTTTCCAAGTCTTTATTAAAAGGCACCAGACACCAGCCTCATACAATTATTAAGTCGGTCGCGAAGCTTCAGGGGTAGGATTCCGAAAACGTTCCTTCTAGGTCTTCTAGATCAGGCCTTTCCAGTTGCGACTTTTCTAGCCTGAAGGCTGCCAGAGCGAAGTTATCGATGATAGGGGCACCAACTACGGGCATGCTGCAACTAGGGGGTTTCTTGGCAATTGCTGCCCACCTGGGTTAACAACTGTAATTATTTTCATT